TTTTTTTTTTATAAATTCACAATGGTGGTAAAGATGTAGGGCAGCACGGTGGCGCAACTGGTAGAGCTGCTGCCTCTCAGTGAGCAGGTCCCTGGTTCAAACCCCGGTCCAGGGGCCTTTCTGGGTGGAGTTTGCATGTTCTCTCCGTGCATGCGTGGGTTTTCTCCGGGTGCTCTGGTTTCCTCACACTGACCAAAAACATGCATGTTAGGCTGATTGGTAACTCTAAATTGTCCCTAGGTGTGAGTGAGAGAGTGAATGGTTGTTTGTCTCGTTTGTCTCTTTGTGTCCCTGTGATGGACTGGAGACCTGTCCAGGGTGTCTCCCGCCCCTCGCACAGTGATTGCTGGACATGGGCACCAGCGACCCCCGTGACCCAAAATGGAATAAGCGGGTAAAGAAAATGACTGGATATATATATATATATATATATATGAGAATATTCTAAGGGACATATTTTGAATCTACAGTTTTATTTTATTATTATTTTATTTTGAATCTACAACAAAAAACACTATAAAAATACTACATTTTGTGCCACCTGGAAAATCAAAACTTTTAGCTAAAATATTCCAATTCAAGTGCGTACTTTTACTCATCTGCTGCATTTGCAAATGTACTACTGTGCAAACCTACTGGGTATGTGAACTAGTTAGTCTTAGGAGTGCTAATGGGCAAACTGTTAATTGTTTAGAACATAATGTAATTTTTGAGCTTCTCTGTTCCTTTAAAGCCTTACTTCAAACATCCCTAATGCTGACAGCAGAACTGATGTCAAGTCAAAGTTTATTTATTTAGCATGTCTACAACAACCACAGCTGACCAGTGTGCTTCACAATGATTTCAACATCATAGATAAAAATATGACCAAAAAAATAAATAAAAATTGAGTTTAATAAAAATAAAAGTATGATAAAAATTTGCAGTAAAGTACCAGTAAAATAAAGTACTGTAAATATATACAGTAAATAAAGGCATGGGTAGCTGATGGGAGCAAAGTAAAGTAAAATAAATTACGTGCAGATTAATCTAAGTGAATGACTGATGATAACCCTTTAGGCCTTCTTGTCTCTTTTCCAGTCGTATGAGGACCTGGTCCATCGTTTAGAGCCAGTGATCATGGAGCTGGAGAGGCAGGAAAATGTCCTGGTTATCTGCCACCAAGCTGTAATGCGATGTCTACTGGCTTACTTTCTAGACAAAGCTGGAGGTTCTGAAAATGTTAACTTCTATGTGAACTGGCTTCTTTTCTAATTATTTTGTCTCACATTTTTCTGTTGAACAAAACGCCACAAAAATAACTTCATTTTTCTCTTTCTGAAGATGAGCTACCTTATCTCAGATGTCCTCTTCACACAGTGCTTAAACTCACACCTGTAGCTTACGGTGAGCAGTAAACGATACAATGTGGAAAACTCAGCTCTTCAATCTCTTCTAAACTTCTGGTTTTCTCTTCACCTGCAGGATGTAGAGTTGAATCATTTTTCCTCAATATTGAAGCTGTCAACACACACAGAGAGAAGCCAAAGGTAGGAATCTACACGTGCATGTTTGTTTTAATGGAGACAAATCATTGTAATGTAACCTATAAATGTTGACTACGTCTGCAACCCACTGCAGATACATGGCCAAAGTAATTGTCAGAAATAAATCTTTTTGTAAAGGTAATTAAATTATAAACAATACAAAGTGTTTTTTTTATATTTATTTTTATTGTATATACTTTGTATATATGTGTGTGCGTGCGTGCGTGCGTGCGTGCGTGCGTGTGTGTGTGTGTGTGTGTGTGTGTATATATGTATAATTTTTAATTTTTTTGCTAACTCTACTTTTTACCTTAGCACAATGTTTATACCAAACAGAGGTTTGGAAACACTTGATGAATGATGAAACTGTTGCTGTGTTAAAAAAGAAACATATTTAAATTATTAATTAAAAAAAAATCTTTCAACATCTTTAAAATAATACTTTCTCATGTAAAGTTTAAGTTTAAAACAACTATAAGAGTTTTGTATGTGATGTTAAAAAGCTTGTTCGAACTATGGCATATTTACAGTTATTATAAGCAAAAAAACTGTACTTTGTTAACAGTTCCTTAAAAATATATTCAAACTTAAAAAGGTGAAAAGAAGAAAATTCAGCTATGTATATTAGGATTAGTTGTTCTTCTTTCAGCATGTCCCTCTTCAGGTGTCTCCACAGCGAGTCACCCTCCTCCATCTCTCTGTCCTCACTCCAACTACCTCCATGTCCTCTCTAACTTCATCCATATATCTGTATCTCATTTTTCCTGCAGCTGCATTTCTAACATCCTTCTACCAATATACCCACTGTCCCTCCTCTGGACATGTCCAAACCATCTCAGTGTGTCCTCTCTAACTTTATCTCTCAGTTGTTCAACCTGTGCTGTACCGCTCATTATTTCATTCCTGATCTTATCCAGCCTTGTCACTCCTAAGGAGAACCTGAACATCTTCATTTCTGTCACTTCCAGTTCTGTCTCCTGTCTTTTTGTCCATGTCTCTGTCTCCAGACCATACAACATAGCTGGTCTCACCACTGTCTTGTAAACCAAAAAAGTCCATGCTCAATAATCCAGGTATACAATCCAACAATTTTCAGTCAGGCCATCTAGACAGTTTTTTTTTTTTTTTTTTTGCTGAAACGTTTCACCTTCTATCTAGAAGGCTTCTTCAGTCAAGGAAACACACAACACAAAACTGATTCTTCCCCTGAACAGCTTACTCCAAAGTGGAACAAACCAGTTATGTTGGTGCTAAGATGGTGTCTTTGGCATGCCCCCTCCTCTGGAGCCGGCCCTCTTCCTCGTCGACAGTCATGTTCAGTTTTGTGTTGTGTGTTTTCTTGACTGATGAAGCCTTCTGGATAGAAGGTGAAACGTTTCAGCAAAAAAAGAAACTGTCCAGATGACCTGACTGAAAATTGTTGGACTTTCTTGTAACCTTTTCCTTTTATTTCCTGCCACCCTTTTGTCACAAATCACATTTGAAACTTTTCTCCATCCTGCACTGTTGTGACCTCTGCTCCTTGTAGCCTCACTATTCCATGAAAACACATTGAAGTTCTTTCTGACCCTCTTGGTACTTCTCCATCAGCATTCTCAAAGCAAAAATGGCATCTGTGGTGCTCTTTCTTGGCATGAAACCATACTGCTGCTCACAGATAGTCACCTCTCATCTAAGCCTAGCTTCCACAACTTTCTCCCAGATCTTCATTGAGTGACTCATCTACCTAATTACCCTGTAGTTGCTACAACTCTGTATCTCTACTCTTCTTTCTCATTCATTCTCTTCATTCATTAAGTCCTCAATGTACTCCTTCCATCTTCCCGTTACACTCTCCTCACTTGTTAGAACATTAACATTCCTATCTTTAACAAGCCTAACCTGCTGCACATCCTTTCTAGCCTGATCCCTCTGTCTCGCCAAGTCCTTCTCGCCCTCTTTAATGTCCAGCCTCCCATACAACTCTTTTTACACCTTCTGCTTTGCCTTATCTACATCCCTCTTTGCTCTACATTGCATCTCCTTATATTCCTGTCTCCTCTCTTCAGTCCTCTCACTTTCATATTTCTTCTTGGCTAACTTCTTTCTTTCAATAGCTTCCTGCACTTCACTATTCCACCACCAGGTTTCCTCATCATCCATTCTCTGTCCAGATGACACACCAAGTACCTTCCTACCTGTCTCTCTAATTGCTGTTGCTGTGGTAACCCAGTCATTTGGAAGCTCTTACTTACCACCCAGAGCCTTTTCAATTCAATTCAGTTCAATTCAATTCAGTTTATTTATAAAGCGCCAAATCACAACAAAGTTGTCTCAGGACTCTTTACAGGAACATTCACATAAAAGCCAATTAGTAAAGTTCTCTATCTAAGGAATCCAGCAGACAAGTTGAATCTTGGCACCTTTAACAGCTCCTCACTGAATTTCTCACAACATTCTTCCTTCTTCATCTTCCACCATTTGGTCTTCTTCTCTGATTTTACGCTTTTTCTCTTCTTCACAACAACAGTCATTCTACACACAACCATCCGATGCTCCTCTGCCACAACCTTACAGTCTCCCTTGGGTTTCCTCTTCTATACAGGATGTAGTCTACTTGTGTAATCCTTTAGATTTAGTTTGTTCTAAACTTTCTAAATACCATAGGTGTGATGTTGTTGTTTGGATGTTGATGAGGATTCAAAGATGCAGAACAGCAAGTAACAGACAGGCAGATACGTTTAATGTATTCTACAAGAAGTTGATAGAGGAAAACAAAACCAGAAGTGCAGTTGAAACAGACTGGCAGAGTGTCTCCAACAGATCCCAGAAACAGTCTTACAGACGTGTGTGTAGAAGAGTGCAGTCCTATAACAGCTAAGATCCTGAGCAGAACCCCAGGCTCTCATATACAGTTTATATTTATATAAATGGTCATGGTTGTCAACAAACCAATAATGTTAAAAGAAAACCAGACCACACAAGTAGCTAAAATATGGCACACTGACAAACAAGGAACAAAGAACTGTAAACAGGACAATAAATTATACCAACAAAAACATTGTGAAACATCCTAAGAGTGATTTTTCTTTTTCTCTCTTTTTGTGTCGTTGCAGAATGTCAGCCTGAACAGAAACCCAAAGGAAGCTCTGCAGACTGTTCCTGATCATATATAAAAACTGTTCTGAGAGAAACTGACCCGATGTGTTGCTGCTTATGAGACTCAAAGATACAATTAAATGCTTGTGTGAAAACCTAAAAAAAAAAGATCATATCAACACAAACAGACTGCCTGACAGACTGTCAGACAGACTGACAAGAATCCAACCTTCAGCCACTTCTTTTTTCTATCTGTGAATAGAATAGAATAGAATAGAATAGAATAGAATAGAATAGAATAGAATAGAATAGAATAGAATAGAATAGAATAGAATAGAATAGAATATGCTTTATTGTCCCCTAGGGTAAATTTGTCATGGACTCATGAGTGTATATAGCATAGTAACAGCTGGCCAAACAGACAGTAAATACACATACAATTCATATAAACAGCTAAAAATGAAGACTACAAACACAACAGTTAAAAAAAAAAAACCAGAGAAGATCAAAGTTCTTGCACACCTTTCAGGCCTCAACAGATTATGTATTTAAAATTTTGATGTGAAATGAAACAAGTCTGCATGAGGTTTGCTTTCATTGCATAAACAATAAAATAAAAAAATATTTCCTAAATATATCCTGATGCATGCTCAATAATCCAGGTAGAAAAATAAAAAAAAGTTCAATCTGGTCCTCTGGACATTCAAAAAAACAAAAAACAAAACAAAGCAAAAAAAATCTAGAAACGTTTCGTCTCTCGTCCGAGAGACTTCTTCAGTCTGAGGTGCTGTTTTCAGCTCAGTCTCTTAAATAGCACCTTCTCAGAGTGGATCAACCAGTTTGCTGCTGACAACCAAAACCAGCTGATCACATGGTCAAGAAGGACCATCAGCCTAACAATAGATCATTAGCACACTGATGGCTGTTTACTACTCACAGGCAGTGAGAAGTCAGAAGTCAGAAGGCACAGACACAGCTGCTGAATGAACGGGTGAGACAGACCAATTTTACTATTGAGGCCTTGAAGGCCAAAGAAGAGCACATTAAACAGAAACTAACTATGTGTCTAGATCAGACCACACTTCAGCAAGTGTTGGACTGTACAGATCAGGCACGCTTAGCACAGCATGTCAAGTCCAAGACTCGACAACAAAATAAGTTTAACTTTCTAATAACTCATCAACACCATCACTATTCCAATAACAACACATTCAGTGTAGGACAACACTCCAGTAGTCGATTACATGCCAGGGAGACAGAAAAGTGGGTGAAGAATTTATCTGACAGACAGCTCACCCAGCCAGGGACAGAGATTCTTGCCAGGGGACTGAACTTTGCGGTTGCACCAAGGACAATTCCTCTGGTGGAGATGATCACAGCTACTGAGTCAGCCATCCGCAACAACAAAATGAAAGAGGGTGAAGCAGAACAGCTCAGAATCAAAGTTTCATCCTGCCTCAGCAATGCCAAACCACCACCTTCCAACATCAGTAGAGAGGAGAGGGATGCACTCACCACTCTCAGCAAGGACAAAAACATCATAATTCTCCCAGCAGACAAAGGAAGGTGCACAGTGATTTTGAACCAGAAAGACTATCATGAGAAAGTTATGACACTCCTTAGTGACTTAA